AWYYWAAWTKRMCCTCTTTTAGTTTAAATCTGTTATCCCTTGTTCTATCAGCACGAATTCCCAGGAGAAGAAACGACATTCTCCCATGGCTCAGGGTGAGGCACGGCAGCAACAGGACTTGCAGTTTTGGCCAACATCCAGGRGGAAGCTCTTCAGAAGCCATCAGCAGCAACCATATGTTTCCTTGAGAAAATCAAGAGTTTATGTTGCAATCTCTGGAAAACCTCTGGAAATCACTGGGTATGGTGTTTTAGCAACAAATATAGCTCAGACAAGCAATAAACTGTTGCCTTTCACTAGTGTTACAAGATCTAGGAGAGAATCCCATGACATTGAGGTCCTCTAGGGATACAGTAACATTGACACATCCTTTAAACTCTATTCAAGTTTCTCATYATCACATCTTTTAAGAAGAAAAGCGCAAGTTGGTGTCGTGAGAAACAAAAATTATTGTGGTTTCAAATCTCAAAAGGYCAGATATTACAGAGTACCCTGGGTCACCAGTGCTTTTCTCAAAGGAATTRTTAATGCACTTAGAGCTCATGTGTGATGCTTCTCCAACTGATTTATAACAGCTCACAAGCACTGTGCTACAAATGAAAGAAATGTGGCCTTATGTTCAAATTTGCTTTATTTGGTTTCTTTTCATCCAGGGAAACACAGAAAACAAGACAGATAATGTATCAGTAGAGCATGTAACTTTAGATWAAAAATTATTAGGTAAAAACCATGACACAGACAATAACTAAAAATATAGGATAYACTGTTTTGATTGACTGAAGTTATTATCAAATCTGAACTAAACTGCACCTGCTATGGTCAAAAACACTCCTGTAAATTTATCTCAAAAGTTTTGTTTAAAAACTTTTTTAAAAGGAAAAAATACCCCACAGCACCTTAAAAACCCCATGAACTTCCTCTTTCTGTACAGAAATGAAACAAAGTATAAATCAAAACAACTAAAAAGCCCAGCTTGAAAGGACACATTGCTGGTATCCCAAACAATTATGGAAAAGATAAAAGGACCAGTTGGTGTTTTGGTTGGATCAGATTTTTTTTTTTATTAGAAAAAGTGAAATATATAAATAAATAATTTATATTGTCTTACAATAGTAGAGCAAATGCCACCCTTCATGTCCTCAGTAACACAAGCAAACACACATAGAAAACTTTTTACCAGAGTCTGGAGAGGCCACTGCTCTGGAAGCAACAAAACACTTATTCTGAGAGCTGAGTCCTAAGTTTTAAATCTTCATTGCTGATGTTTCAGATTGACAGCTTGTACCCTTAGTAAACAAATGACACAAAAAGCACAGTCCAAAATGCACTGCACTCTGGTGAAATGGAACATTTCAGATGCTCAAATGCTCATCARAGCCAAAAGAAAAGAGAATACTGTTAGTGATCCAACACAACGACAAACATTCAGACAGAAGGAAGACTGAGAAGCACCTTAAATATAAGCACTCATCAGCTGAACAAAAAATCATCAGTGGAGCCCCTGCAGTCCTCCTGTCTGTCTATCCTGTCAGTGAAATGGGCCACTGAGCAGGCACACCCAGTGACAGGCTTTTTTTAGCAACCTTCACCCTGTGGGGCAGGCACAGCGCCCTGTGAAGGTGTTCAGAGGCCGTCATGGTTTAACCCCAGACATCAACAAAGCACCACAGAGCTGCTTGCACAACCCCCAGGAGGGATGGGGGCTGTCGGAAAGGTGGTGTCTTACTAGCTTCTATCAGGAAAATCAACTCTGTCCCAACCAAAACAAGCTCAGAGGCAGAGGGCACCTGGAGACTTCAATCCCTCACAAGGATGAGGAGCTGCAGGGCAATGCCCAGTGCACAGCTCTCATAAGCAGCCTGCTGCTTCACAGCAACAGAGGGTCTGGAAACTGGAGCTGTAAGCCTGGAAATGGCCAGATCAGCRGGCTTGGGCAGGCAGTGATGAGCAACCTGGGGTGGTGGGAGAGGAGCTCCAATCTGACCTGGGACAGGAGCAGAATTAGGTCCCAGCTCCTAAGAATAGGGCAGTGTCTTTATCTGCTACCAAAACCATGAGAAATCAGTAGCTCAGTCTCTGTAAACTGAAATCACAGCTGGTACCATCACGGCCCCAGCAGTGACACTGAAGAGCGAGCTCAGCATGTGACATCCCACCCAGTGAGCTCCAGCCACAGAATAATGGCTTTTGGCCGTCTAAGTGATTTAAAAAGACACAAKAAACATGGATGAAGACAGGGAAGGTTATTCTGAGYTGTGCATAAGATGAGCACAAAAGCYGYTGACAAAGTCCATGAGTTTTGGCAGCTCAGAAAGGAGTAGGATAGGGCATTAACAGGAAAGGAAAGATGGAGAAGACAATGTTTCCACTACTGGCCTTTGTTTCCATCTCCTCTTCACTTACATATTTAACCCCACCACACACATCCCCAAAAAATACAAAAAACCCAAAACAAAACAAAACAAAACAAAACAAAACAAAACAAAACAAAACAAAACAAAACAAATAGAATCAAACACTCCAGGATTAGAAAGATGCAAATAAAGTAAATCACATATATTACATAAATTACTTACAACTGTTCTTTCTAAACTGTGGCTGCTTCTGCCTTTATTTAGTCACCTGCTTGGAGACCTATTGCTCTTCYCCAATAATTTTGATTAATTTGGTGTGGTTTGAGTCCTGTGATTTTTACATCCAGCAGGTCCTTACAAGATAGAGAAAAAGGAATTGGAATAGATGGATAAAAGAAGAAAAAACAGATGACAGGAAGAGGGTGATGAACTCAGAGTTCATAAAATTGCAGACAGATGTTGGCAAAAATGAAATCCCTCTGTACTGCAAGAGCAATTATGCACTGCAAGAGAATCCCCAGGAAGTCTACAGCACTTCTACCTGTGGATGTTTTCAAAACTTAACTGGAAGAAGACAAATATATTTTGCACAGCAGCAGAATCAAGAGTGGCATGGGCAAAGAAGGTTCTGCCTGGCAAAATCTCTGGAGAGCAGGCAAGTGTTTGGCCTCCAGTCCTCCTGTTTAGGATTAAGGGCCTAGACCAGATAACAAATGTTATTTCAGTTGTTTCAGCCATCAGCTCAGCTTTTAGACAGGGCAGTGTTATGATGTTTTTTCCTTTTTTTTGTTGCTTCTTTCCAGCCACTCAAGTTGCTACATGTAATATCGATTTCAGGATGCTGGCTTCTAATGACCTGGTAGGTGGACAGAAATCTTCCAGGACCCTAGAAAACACAAAAACAACCCCAGGAAAAGATAAGTCATGGCCATTGTGTTGCTGYCTCAGGTTTTGCTTAACAGTGTGGYTGGGACAGGAGGAAGAGAAATGTGCAGTGGGGAAAGTGGGAAGCAAGRGTAACAAAACCCTTTGGTGTACAGCTGTAGGACCTTCCCTGCTTTTTTAATTCTGAAAATCACACACACTGCAGAATTCAGGGTATGACAGTGAGATAAGGGATATACAAAACCCTGGAAGGGTTTGTAAACTGTGAAAAGTAAACAAACTTTCCTCACTGGTAATAATACACCAATAATTAATTAACACATATATATTGAGTATATAAATAGCTTGATACTTCAGAATGTCATTCCTCATTCAGATGTTTGAGAATCAGTTTGTAACTCTACCTTTACATGGCTTTGAAGACGATAATAAAATATCTGGCATCTTTACTTTTAATGTAGAAGAGTATGAAAGAGGTTCCTTATCTAATAATCCTGCATACAGTCAAAGTATTTAATATTTTGGAATTGAGTATGTACATAATTCTTACCAAGGAAGTGAATGAGAAATTGAAACAGCGAGGCAACTATTCACATATCACAGGAATTCTATTTTTTCTCCCTTTCAGCTGCCAGCCATTTTATTTTCTGGTTATAGACAAAGCCCTATTGTTGGAATGAAAAGGAGAAGAAAGGACCAGAAAATTACTTCATAATGAAATATGAGCACAAAAATGATGTGAAATTGTACTAGTCACACATACTAAAAGTCTCCCTGTTTGCAAAAGAAGGATTTTAGCAGCACAGACCTCAGTGCCTTCCCTTTAGATGGGCAGGAGAAACTCCAAGATGTTTCCTACTCCACTACCTTCATCCTGTTGGTAGCAAAACAGGATTTATTTCATCCTTCCAGACAAAAACTCCAGCTGTGGCCCAAGAGACCARGAGTCACCCATTTGACCTTCCCCTCCTTCTTCCTCTGCAACTCCCTTTTCCTGGCCCTTCTAAGTGGAAAGCAGGATAAGGAACATTCTTTTTCCAGTAAAACACGCTGGAAGAAAACATGATGGGGAAATGAACTAAGCACCAGTCATCCCTGTCCTTCACAATGAAAACAGGGAGCACTAAAATGTGGAAATCTTGGAAAAAGTGCCCATTCTCCCTCTCTATATGATACAGACCACAGGGTACTGCCAGGCATGTTTCTGTGTAAAATTAAATGGAATTAATAGGAAACAGGAGCTCTCTGGAAGCAGTGTGGAATTAAACCCAGAAAACATCCTCACTTGAGTTGCAAAATATTTATGTCTGTGGAAATGTGATGGGCAGCCTGATTACCCCTTCACTGACATTTTTGTCATGAGGGTTGTTTTTTTAGTCCCTCCTCTGAGCTCTATTTAGGTCTGTTTGGCTAAACTGTTTTTAGACTGTGGCTTTTGTGGGTTTTGGGATTTTTGCTTGTTTGGCTTGGGTTTGGGCTTTTTCCTGATATAGTATTAAGGAGGGTAAAGGAATGAGGCTGTTGTATATTCACAGCTTATTTTTTCCTATTTTTCAGGAATTCAAAATAGGACAAAAATATGATTGCCTACTCACATTAAAGCCACACTTGAGAGGAAACCAAGGCTGCTCTAAAATGAGCCTCACCATCTGGGACATGATGGCCAGAAACCCATTCCTCTGTGAGCAGGGTGTGTTGTATCTATCTCATGAAAGAGGGAGTTATGTCTCGAGTTTATCATCTGAAAGTCTGGTWTTCAGCAGCCTTCTCTGGAAAAAATATTCTGAAAATTCTCCTAAGCCCAARCTGCTACTATATTGGTCTCAAATACTGAGTTTCTCACTAATAAGAAAACCAGATGTATGTCAAAGCAAATCCACTGAAGAAACATGCCTAGTCATAAGATAAAATAAGAACTGCCATCATTAATTGCCAAAGATTAGAAACTAAGCCTTCCCCAAACTGAATAAAAAGCAGAGAATACTGCTGTAAGGACTCTTCCAGAATTAATTACTATCTTTACTACAAATACAGCAGTGAAAAGTATAACTAAGCACTTGTTCTTATAAAGTTACCCAAATAACTGGAATTTCCTGTGTGACGTTTATTTCCCRGCCTTCCTGGACATATTTGGCCATCAAAATTTGTGTTTCTCATACCCACATATTATAGCTGATCAGCCAAGTTGCTATTTTACACTTACCAGATCTGATTCTATGCTATTTGTAGCAGCTATCAAACTTCAGAAGGCAATAATCGGGGCACCCTAAATTCCCACTCAGGGTATTAAGTGATCTCCAGCTCATAACAAAGGTATTTCCAACCTGTTTTGTAGTACTTGTGTAACATATGAAGCAAACTGATGTTGGGCATTTCTTTGGAATACAGATAGCAGGTTGTATTCAGACACAAACGGAATTGTAGAATCAYTAGGRYTGGAAAAKACCTCCAAGATCAGCAASTCCACYSTCTGAYTGAAMACCACCTTGYCAAGTAAASCACAGCAYTAAGTGGTAAAGACAATGCTGCTTGCATCTGAGTTCCATAAAATCTCCACTTGAAGGAAGACCTGACAGGAGAAAYACATTTCTATGCTGGTGCTTTCCGCAGAATGGAATTTTTGGTCTGGCCTAATCTCTTCTTCTATGACTCTTCAAGTTTTCTTCTTCCAGGGTAACCTATTCTGTTCAGCTTTCTTATCTATTCAGTGTCATATTCAATTGGAAGACCCATTTTTTCCCCTCTTATAATAATTTTTTTAAAACATAAGCATACTATTTGACTGTTTCTGAAGCTTTCCACATGGCAAAACCTGCATAAGCTACCCAGGAGAAATCAACAAACAAATTCTTAAAAAACAAACCAAACAAAAAACCTCATTCTGGCCTTTACATGCATTTGTGAGGTAGTCCTTCCTCACAGGTCACCACAAGCATCCAGAAAAAAWATGTATTTGTGTAATTTTATCCCTCTGCAGACTGCTACATCCTGAGAATTAATTATAAAGCTTTTTAATTGGCCAGGCTGAAATATGAGTATCCTGCAAGCTGTGAAATAGCATCCGAAGCTATGGAAAGCATTCAAGTGAAGACATGTAAATGACAGGAAAGTCACAGGGATTTGTGCAGGCAAACAGCCTTTATTTGGCTTCTCTGCAGGCACCTGGCTTGTTAATTGGACTGCTTTATCTTGGTGTGGTCTACAGTAAAGCTCTATTAGTTGAGTAAGAAATGAAAGGATTTAACTTTTTATCAGATGAGCAGCACCAGGAATCTTTAGACGTGGCTGAAGTTATGCCTGGTGATCCTTYRCAGCCTGCTCATTGCACTTGTACYGACTGACAGGCACAGCCAGGTTTGCCTGCCTACCAGACAGAGGGTGAGACATGAGTTTTCCAAAGCTTGTGTGTCAGCACTTGCCACAAAGGCTGCTCAGTTTGATTCCAAACAAGTGACTTTTCCACTCATGTTGTGAAGACGCTTCAGCTGGGATGTTTGCAGGGACAATCAAAATGTATGTATGCTCTGTAACAGGTACACAAGCCAAAAGCCTGAGGGATAGGACATGACCTTTCAACTCCTGACCTGAGTCCCAAGTATGTGCCATGAAGAGAAAGAACAAAAATAAAGGCAAAGCAAAAACTAACTACATTCTCAGGAGCAGAAGAAGAAACTTTGTCAGAGAAGTGTCCCCAGCCACCCAGTTAACAAACTGCTGCTTTACTTTCAAAACGGAGCATCTTGGCAAGCCTGGAAATGCTGTGCTTGTTATCTAGTGCAAAATGAAAAGAAGCATTGAGGCCCCAGACAGACCCTGGCATTCTCTAGCCAGAGCTATTAGCTCTGCATGTTGCTGTTACAAACAGCTGTGCCCAAAAGTACGTACGGAGGCGTTGCCCCTCATTCCAACAATSTGAGGACAACAGAGGATAAAACCAGAAAAGGGCTTTCTGCAAGATATTACTGCCTTTTGCGTGAATTGAATATGCTTTAAAAAGCATRAACATATTTTACAGATGATCAAGGGAAAAAACAAGTCACCACAACACCGGACTAGGATCCATAGCTGAGAAGTTTAGGGGATTTCCTCGTCACAATACTCGGGGAGTGGTAATGCACTGTAAATAAAATGGTGGAAATTACTGTAACTCCACAGATATTTTTAGCATTCTAAGGACGACAAGGAAAGAGACTATGGAATCATACACAAGATAAATTGTAAGTTACCCTTAGCCACCAGCAGAAAAGAGTATCCTGGGAGAAAAAAAAAATCAGATGGTGACAGGTGACAGAGTGATCAAACTGCACTACCATTGAAATTTTACAGCAAACTAATTAATAATGCCTTCAGGTAAACAGATGTAAATTAGGAACACAGAGTACACATTTCCTTAAGATGGCTGCTGTATGAAGGAATATGTTCAGCTGGGCAAAATTGCTCTGGATGACATAATGCTGCCTTTATTCAAAAATGATCCAGGTCAGTGCATTATATTTTCAAAACTGAAAACCAAAGAGCAACTGAAAAGATACAGACTATGACTGATAAAAACCAGACTACATTAAAAGAAAAGAGACTCAATGACTTACAAGCTCACAGCAGATGTCATATGCTTGCATCAAGAGTTAATCAAAACCCATGAAAAATGGGAAGGAACACAACTGATGTCACTCAAATCCTGCTTCTCTTGATAAACTTTAATCCAACAAACTCACACACACTACTAAACGCTGTTCACCTAATTTGTGCCCTCTGCCCCAGTGGACAGGGATTTACRTTATGTCTTGACCTTGTGACATGTTGGCACATGAGAGGCCAGGAATCTYGATGTCTTCCCAGGCAGCAAGACATGAGATCCCTCTTCTCTTGGGGACACAGAGGGACTTCACACTTTGAGCCTCTAGCTAAGGAAGAAGAGGCACAGTGCTTTCAGTTGAAACTGATGCTTTTCTGTGTCTTCTGCCTTCCTTACAAGACAGAGGAGGGGGAAAGTTCAAAGTTTCTGTTCAAAGTTTCCCAAGTAATATGCAGGCTGTGCTGTTGTGCATCACAGTGGTGTCTCCACAGCAGTAAATCATGTCTCACATGGCACATGGCACAAGGACACATGAAACGGTTTGAGGGGTCCCAAGCTCGATACCTTGAGGGTGGTGAAGGGCATAAAAAAACTTGGTGTCACTGCCTGCTGGGGATGGCCCTGTTGTAAACTATTGCTGAACCCATGTAAGGGCTGCCCAGGAAACTGTTAATATCCCAGGGCCAGAATCATGCTAGGATACATATTAACATCCTCAGTCTAGTCTAAACATGAACAGCCTAGTCTTGCCAAGTAGTGATTCACTGAGCAGCACTGCTCCAGCTTTGGGCCCCAGTGCAGACACAGCATCCCAGCTTGGCTCTTCTCATCTGCCATGCAATGAAGGGGCTTCAAAACACTGCAAGGCAGCATCTGTGCTTTTTGGCACTCTCTTTTCCTGGTCAATCTCAGATCTGCTCTAGGGGGTGACCCCAGCTCTCTATCTGATCACCTCATCTCAAGGTCTCTCCATCACGGTATGCTTAGTACAAGCTCATTTGTGTTTTGAATGGTTGTTCTAGAACAAACATACATCTTTCTGTGAGCATTTAACTTTTTTATTCTGATCCTTTAAAATGCAGCATTTAAGAACAAATATCTTGCATTTTAACTCCCAGGTTGATCTGAAAATTCAACAAGAAATTTTATCTTCTGAACTGCTTATAGGATCAATGGAAGGTTCACATGCATTTTWCAATTAAGGCATTATATCTATTATATTATAACAGTAAGAACAGTTCATTTCTCTTCTCAGTGAAACTTTTTTGTCTCTGGCAGTAGCAGATGCATYAGGTCAACCCTCATTAATGGTGGATGCTATAAGTCTAAATTCACAATAGAGAGGTGTGATACTGCTTGAAATATTTCTTTATTTTTTTATCACATTATCACCCTGAAGAAGAATGTATTTCCTAAACAGTCAGGAACTGAGTTAATGTGTGCTGGAGTTTCTAACTACATCAGTGGAATGTAAAGCCAGACACAGGATTTGGATTTAGTTAAACAAGTGAAACTACCAATGACCATCAAATTTCTGTGATTTCTGAAGCTTATGGTGCCCTGTGTCCCCTCCCCTCATTCCCACCTTGCTAATTTTTTCCTGTTCATTATGTTACTAGTAGTTAAGACTAGAGAGTTGAATTGATCCATGACCAGGTTATTACACATGCAGAGACATTATGCTGACTACAATTTCTCCTTAATTAATCATTAGGAAGCATGCTCATGTGCCAAATTTGAGCACACTTTTTCATCACATTCTGTTGTCACATTTCATACCCTATTTGTCTTAAAAATTACAAAGATGGTGCCATGACCAGTAGAAAATGCTTTTCCTAAGGGGACATCAGTCTGCATGAGTGGGTTTCTCTCCAGCGTTCTCTTCATCTGTCAGAAATGGTCTGAGCATGCTACACTTTGTGAGCTTCCAGGAAAACGTGAAAGATAAATGAACTGCTTCTGCTGAGACTGCTACCTGAAAGCAAACTATGAGTAGCATGTCCTGCTCTGCTTGRATCCTCCCCTCACAATTTTCAGCCTTGGATTGTCCCTTGGCAGTGGGAAAACAACTCAGAAACTTACATGCAACTGAGGCAACCTCTAAAAACTTTAACATTTTATTACTATTATTAATTWATTATTTATTATTYAATAMATATTYATTTTATTAAATATTTAATTTATTTACTTCATTATTATTATGTTGTCCAATATGACATAGCCCCAGTGGTATCTCAGCAAAGTCTTATTCTTCTCTATTCTTTATTATGAGCTCTAAGAAAACCACACATCAGTGACTCACCACTTCAACTCCTCCTGCATGTTGGCCTCCTCCAGAAGAGCATAATCAGAACTATGACGACTACTAAAATCACCACAATAATCACCAGCCAAAGCAAGGACGATCCCTCCTCTGTGAAAACAAAACCACAAAAAACCCACAGCAAATTAATTCAGCTTATAGAGAAAAAAAAGCAAAACGAGCCAAGAGGTTGTCTGATTAATGACAGTGGTTCCTCTGATCTGGTTAAAGGTATTGCTAAGATACATGAAAGCAGCAATTGCTCAAAAGTGAGAGTAAACCTATGTATCTTTGAAAACAAAACTACCTGCCCACAGAAGATGAGAATAAAATGTTTCTTTGCTTTCTTTTCAAGGCAAAGAAAACTGCTGTTCCCATACCTGAGACAGTGGTTKGCATGCACACACAAGCACAACTTCATACAAGTTAGCTTTAATACTTTCAGAAGAGTTTTTTTTGCTCACTCAGAAAGTTATTATTTTTACTTTTGAACACTTAACGCTGTTGTAAAAACTACATTAAGTTTATTAAAAGAAGACAGACTATGTTTTGCTGCCTGCAAATAGCTCTACCCAACAGCTGAGCATAAATRTTCCTCCCTGGTGAGACATTAACCACTTCATTTGAGTGCCATTAATCAAAATGCTTATACAAATGCTCATTAGCTGGAAAACTGTATGACTCAAAAGTGTATGAGTCAAAAATTTGACTCAAGCCAAAACTATGATATCTTTTAACAGAGCTATATTGAACCATTCCTTTGAATTTCTTGTCCTTTAAAATATAAGATTGTTAAAACAACAAGCTGTTACCTGATTTTTTATCCACTTAGCAAGAACTAACAACAGTCTTAGTCTTCTGCTTCCTGAGAKACACATTTTCTTTTTAAAAGACCAAAACAAAAGAATATTTGAGACAGGACAAAAAGATTTAATATGCTTTTTCAATTAATGATATTCAGAATTAAGAACTAAATTTCTTTTGAATGTTTAGAGAAAAGACATTAAAAGTCAGACCCTTCTCTTTACTACTATTCCTTCAACAATCACTTCTTGAGCATGTAATTTCAGTATTAACCCACAGCTATAAGCTGCTTTTCCTGTCTTGATAATTTACAAGTGCTCTTCCCTTTAAGGCTCAGGATTTAGACACACATGAATTTTAAATCATCYAAGTCAATGCTCCTGTATGAACTAGGAATGGTCCTTCTGCTTTTAATGTTTCTGTTTCTGATCTGCAGAACCAGGGTGAAAGTCTTTCCAGCCAAGCAGAATGGAAGAAGAAATAAATTGACACTACAAGATATTCAGATGTTACATTAATGTATTTAAAATTTCTGCAAAAACCAAATGTAAATACTGTCAATTGACCCTCTCCCTGAATGCCTGAAAGTACTATTCCTCCCTGACCATTACTTCAGTGGACATGTGCCTTAGCAAARCATCAGAGAAACTGAAACAAAACAGGTTAAATACAACAAAACACGTAGTAAGTTGAACAGAAGCATTTTCAGAGATATATTCAGAGATAGTTTGTTATGAATTTCAAAACTTCTGAGTTCATCAAGCAACCCACAGAGTTTCTACTCATCTAAATAAATATCAACTGACATATTTGTATTTATGTTTAGGCTACTGAAAAAAATTATAAAGGTCTACATGAAAGCGTAAATTCACCTTGCTGCAAAATGCATGGTGCTTCCAAACCCTGTATCTCCCCAGCTGATTAGTCAGCCTTTTTTTCCCTCTTGGATAGAACTCCAATATATTATTATCTCAAAGTTGACAATGAATGCAAGTAAGATATACATCTTATTCCCTCCTCTTCCCAGAAGATTTCTATCCAAACACACTGCTGCAAAACATGGAGACCAAGAGAATGCTAACAAGTTACTTGCACTGCTCACCTCCTTTTAGTTTCACAGGCAATTCAATTTTCTCATTTGTGTTGCTCACTCTGCAGGTCAGATCCTGTGCACTGATGCTCTGAATGTTGTGGATTTCCAGTTGACTGGTGATGGACACAACCCCATTCTTGTGCTTGACTGTCGTTTGTGTAGGAGTAGAATTGAACAGGTTGGTCCAGGTGATGGTGGGCTCTGGGAGGCCATCAGCGTTACATATGGCTATCAAATGATCTTCAGAAATGTTGTAATGGACAGATGCATTGAGACCTTCCAACAAAAAATGAGACAAGTCATCACCACAGTGAGCACCTGGTCATAAGCAGCAGCAGCAGTCTAACCATTACAAACCAGAGCAAAGCTTATCGGATTCACACTGAGCCCAATGGCAAGGAATGCAGAAAGAGCTCCTTGGGTCAGGYCCCCTCTATGACTCTGTACTTCTTTCCCCATACTGAAGCATTAAAAGATTTCTACCCCAAAGATTCCACTCAATGTGAAATCCAAGTAATTAAATTAATCTGTTAAGTGAAATAAGTTTTTGGTCCTCTCTGCTAATTCCCTATCAATAGTGGGATTTGGCAGAGCAGCTCACAGCACTGGGGTTGTACCTTGCCCTAAAAGGAAAATGCAACGGGCAATGTTGGTTTGGCCAAGTTCCAGCTGGGACTGACCAAGGACTTACAAAGATCTCACTCCTTTCTTTCCAGCTGCTACTGAATACAAGGAATAACAAACAAGAGCCAATACAACCACAGTAGTCTTGAATGTGACTCAGAGAGTCTTGCTCACAGCAGTAGTGCTCTGTTTCTACATCATGTTTCACCAAGGGATGCTGCTATCACTCAGTTCTTGAATCTGCTCAAGGAAATGCTGCGGGTGAGAAAACACCTCTTATTTCACTAGAGACATATCCCTGCAGAGRACCTCACCAAAAACACTCAGGCAGGTATCTCCTGAGATGGGGCCCAAAGGGTAAACATTGAAGAGGCACTTGTAACATCCTGAATCATCCATTCTAGTGTCCCAAAAARTTATGCTTGTCCTGTTGAGTTCCAGACTTGTGAAATTCATTCGGTCTTCATAGGGCTTGTGAATCTTTAGTCCGTTTAGTTTACTGTATGTAGCTATATTAACGCGTGACTCTTCTGAGTCCTTTTGCCATGTCACTTGCAGAACATCCATGGGGAATTTCAGGGCACAGCTCAAAGTCACATTGTCACCCATCTTCACTTTTCTGTGCTCAGCCTCCACAAGCACTGCAATGACAATAAGTATTTAGTGAAAAGGGCAGATTATCATACATATTCAGAGCCTAATGTGGATTTTAAGGCCTGGGTTACCCACAGACACAACAACCCCTTCAGTTACATATTTTTTCTATGGTTTTYCTGTGCCTAAAAGTCCCTCTCGTGCATACTCCTATAAATCAATGTTATGCTGATTTGCATTGGCTGAGGCTTTGACTTCCTTCTAAGCTACTTAGAAGAAAAAATTACTTACCCTGTTTCTGCACTCATCTCTGTGAACTTCTTTCTTTAGTTTTACTAAATCAGCTCATTCTCAGCAATATTCTCAATTTTTGTTTCCTAAGAGCTAGAGGAAGTTTGAATGCATATGGGAAATACACACCAAGCCATTATCAGAGAAGTAAACAGCAAAATGGCTTTAAAAGACTTTCTGAACTGTAGTTTCAGAGTTCACAGTGCATTTGAGATGGAGGGAAGGCAAGAGACACCCCTGGGAAGCTGTGAACTCAGGTTCAATGACACAGCGTCCAGTGYCATTGCAGATATGGGATGCTTCTTGTCCCTCCCATCTCTAAATGCTRCTGCAGGAGGTTTTGGGTCCCCAGTACCAGTTCTGTGGTTCTGTCTCAGCTCCATGATGTGTCAAACAGCACCAGCAATCTGTATTTCACTTATTTTTGTCTCTTATTCCGTTGAAGCCTTGGGCTTCTAAAAAAACCAGTTCCCCAAACATTTCCAGGCAGATTCCAGGAAATTCAACTTACCATTTGCCTTTCCAAACCCAGAATATGCCAAACACAAAACCAGAACTCGTAAAGTCATTTTGGAAGAGAAAATCTGCTTCCCCTGAAGAAAGACAAGGAGAGATGACAGGTYATCTTCTGGTGATATCGTGCATTCGGGGTGCAAAGATTAACAGTAAGTTTCTCATATGAAAAAGAAGGCAGCTCTGGAGTCAGACAGCAAGACTTGACAAGTCTAATTGCCATATTTCCTGGTTTGTCAATCAGTCTAGCAACAACACARATTGTAGACCTGCCTGGAACTGAACTTGATGTTATATTCGAGTGGAAGCATCGTTTGTAAACAATACCTTGGTAACACACTCTACGCACTGCTGAGTTTTTTTTTGGCCAATGCCTGCAAAAGTAGCTGATGCCTCTTGGGACCATCTTCTGACAAGAATGTAAGCAAAACCCAACCTTTCACAATATATTTCACAACATGYGAAACATTAAAGAGAGACTCAACTACAAAGCGTTTTCTATATTATGCAGGTTAAAAAAGGAGGGCTAATAAATCAATAAATAAWAAGAGGAAATAACAGTATTTAAAACCAAAAAGCAAGCAAACTTGTATACGCACTACATGCACACACAACCAGTAGCCTGCCTTTAAATTTTAAACACACTGTGCCAAAACAACTCTGCAGTTACCAAGTACGAACACAGATCAAGTATTTACATGTAAAATCAGAAACAAGAATGCATTGGTGAAGAGCCCCATGAATAGAGTTTGCATAGTCAGTTTTTTGAGCATGCTGTAAGAAATGCAGATAGATACTGCAAAYAGAAATAGATAGAAATCAAGGGCCAGCACAGCAAGCAAAAACTATCGAGAACTGTTTATAAAGCATTAAAAGATGTGCGACATCTGCAAGCAAGCAGAGTTTTCGGTAACAAACTTCTGATTTACTGCTTTGGTGTTATCGGGCACACCCGGGGTGGCTACAAGATTCCACACAAGGAAGAACGAGGCTACACCGCGTAGGTACACACAGTAGCCATACCGGGCACCGAAAGAATTAAGTTCCTTTAGGTCACAAGCCAAATAATGGGTACTGCAG